CCCATCAGTGTCTGGCAAGGGCCAGTGGCCTCTGAGTTCCCCTTCTGTTGTTGAACATGGGAACGGACGGTTCAAGCCCCGGGAACCCACAGAGACCTCATGCAGGCGGAAGCCACTCTGCTCACTAATCTCGCTTCCATTAGTTCTTCAAACAACCACACATCCCCTTCTGTAATTACTAGAACAGAGGGTGAGCCCCGAGGTGCAGGCAGCTCTGGGCAGCAGGGGGATCGCCAGTCAGTGTCAGGGAGGTGACCTCCATCAGCCAGGCCAGGCCAGTGTCACACAGTTCAGGAGCCTGGACGGGAGGGAGGCTGCTAGCTCCTGGCTCAGGCAGTGCTAGGCTGCCTGTGACAACCTGGAATGACACAGACCTCACACTCTGCCTCCCCTTGACCCACCCACCCTGCGTGGGGCCTTGGGACCAGCCCTGACAACTTGTTCCCCACCCCTCAGAATTTCTGCATGCTTCTGTGCTCGCACTCCTCTGCAGAGCAGCCTCTGACGCCTGTCTCAGCAGCCCGCCCTGGCCCAGCTCCTTACTGCTGCCCGCAGGGCTCTGATCCTAGCATCCTGCTATCTCTGCTTTCGCTGTCTCTTTTCTTACTCAAGTGATAAGCCCCTAGACCTGGGCCAAGTGCCCTACTAGTCCTGCATCCCCTCGGCTAGGCATGGGGCGGTACCTGTGCATAGGTATTAGATAACTAACCAGCAGATGCAGGCCTGGAGCAAGTTGGGATGAGTCCTGAGCCCCAGCGTTCTGGGCAGTTTTGATCTGTGCTGCTAAGTGAGGAGTTGGGCCCACCTCAGTTCTTGTGCTGAAGGCATGGGGTGGGGTCTTCTGACTGGACCCTGTTCCTCAGCTCTGGGCCATCCAGGGATTGCTCTAAGATCATGATGGTTCTCAACATGTGGTCCCCACACCAGCAGCTTCTGCATCACCGGGGAACTGGTTAGAACTGCAAATTCTTATCACCCTCCTTCCCGCAGGCCTGCTGAATCAGAAACTCTTCACCCTCCCAGCTGTGTTTTGACAAGTCCTCCAGGGGATTCTGAAGAAGGCCAAGTCTGAGAACAGCCAGTCTAAGAGCTTGATCTTGGCTCTTGGGATTCCCCAAGACAATCCCCTCTGTAGGAACAGCTGAGTGGGGAGAGGGACAGGGAAGCCCCAGACCTGTTTGTGTGATGGGACAGTCCACATGGAGGAGTATAGGACCCTGCATTGGGGAAGAGCTGCTCCTGCTGACCCCAAAGGCGGGAACTTAACATCCCACAGGCAGGGATTTTCATATTCCCAACCCTAAAGAAGGTGTGAGGGTCTGACCTCATCTCATTGGAGCCGGAAAGTACCTTTCAGGAACCTTCTGTAGCTTTAACAGCCAAGGTGTGCTGGCCTGAGGGAGCGCGTGTCTTTGGGAGGTGACCGCCACCATAGAGACAGGCTACCGGCTTGGGAGTCAGGAGTTCTAATGCTGAAATGCGTGACTGGGTCCTGGGGCACCACGTCTCTGGGTGACTCACCCACCACCCAGCGTCCGGGGCTCTGCAGTTCCTCAGGTTGCTGACCTGGGACCTTCTGGGCCTCAGAGACTCATAGTTCCTAGATCTTGCTGCCGGGCCACCCGAGACTGGGCTCTCCTGGCACTGCAGACGCTGAGGGCAGGGCAGACAAGAGGAGCTTTGCCTCTGTTGTATTTATTGTAGTAAAAGAGCTTTGTGAGGGAGGAGTGACCATTTTCCAAACAAAGAAACTGAGACTCTTAGAGTCTCTGGCCCAAGATGACCCTGAAGGAAGTCAGAGACTCTGGCGTGGCTCCAAGGCCTGAGCAGAGAAGTGTATAATACAGCGACACCATCGCCAGCATTAAGCTCTGGAGGTCTGTGGAGCTCTTGACTGAGTATGACTCACCAGGACTCAGGGACTCGGAAAGCAGTTTGTCACCCCTGCCCCCCAAGCTCGATCCCCAAGCTAAGCGTGGGGAGCTCAGCCTCGGGTATGCCCTCCCAGCGCCGCAAGGGGCTCTGCAAGAGACCCCCCCCACCCAACTTGTTGTCTCTGGGCCTGCCCCGGAGCAGCCTCAGCCTGGCTGCTACAGTTTGGGGCACTTTCTTGTCCACTGTCTCATCTGGGGCCCACAGAACTCAGAGAGATGAAATGTGTCACTGGCAGGGGCCACACCCTGGGGCAGGCATTTCCCTGTGAACTTTCCCCCAGCTTCTACAGAACTAGGAACAAAGGATTCCCGCTCAGGAGGCCGAAGCAGTAGCGTCCTTCATTGTAAACCTTGCCTTTGGGATCATTTTGCTTGTTTTACAATGAAAAGTGTGATCAACTGGGAGCAATTGTGCCTTTTGAAGAGGGCAAAGCATTTTAACCAGGCTGGTTGGTGCCTCTAGAGAATAATGGACCACCCCGGAAATGCCAGTGGGCAAATATATCACTGCTGACTGTGTGAGCTGGAGGCAGTAGGGCCCTGGTGTCCTGGTGTGTGGTGTGTGGCCGCTGCCAAAGCCAGCCTCCCACCCAGCCCCGCGCTCAGCTCTGAGTAGGCTCAAAGCTCCCCCTGGTGGCCTGAGCGCACACTACACCCAGTGTACGACCTCAGCCCCTGGCCCCCGGCACGAGTGCAAGAAACAGAAGGACCTTCCCTCCGCCAGGGGTCCCCTTTCCTCTTATAATGATCCCTCTTCTTCTAAGGCCTGAAGGCAGGAATGACAGGGTTGACAGACAGACCACCGGTTCCTGGTGAGTGCTAGGCCCGTGGATGTATTCCCTGGGGGTTCCTGAGTGCTTTCCAGTCTGTCTCTCCAGGCGGGAGGGGCATTTGTGTCCCTTCCCTGTCTCAGTGGTGGGTGGGAGGAGAATGAGACTGCTCCATAGGGCCTCACCACGAGGACTTTCTGTTCGGCTGTTCTGTCCTCGGGAGCTTGGGACACTGCCAGAAGCCCCTTCCCCCAGCCCTTTATTCATCTTTTTTATTGGCACCTTCTGAAGGTGCCATTAGCTTCTTTTACGTCGGGGGTATTAGCAGAGGAGCCCAGAGCCCAGGAATCTCCTTGGCCCTATCTGATCTCCCCAAATGCAGCAGTGTGATTTCTGAGCTTGGGGGGATTAGCCAGCATCATCCTAGTTTCACACCGCTTTGCTATGAGGCTGGCGCAGTAAGCCTGACCCGTCCAGTCACCAGCCAGGCACCCGCTCAGCAGGTCAGCCCTCCTCACCACCTCCTTAGGACGTTCTGGCCAAAGCCTGCCCCACACATATTTGCTGGAGAAAGTCAGGGACCCAGAGGTTTGAGTCAACCAGAGACACAGCGGTTGTGACAGTTGGAAATTTGTATACAGTGCTTATAACTCCATCTCCAAGTTCATTTGTACCGTTTCCCCAACCACTGTAGGGTATGAAGGACAGGCGTTGCTGTCCCCATTTTACAGATCAGGAAACTAAGTAAACTGCTTGTCTGAAACTTTTTCTTTTAAATTCATGGTTTACATTTTGCCTCCCCACAAAACACATAAAAGAGGTCAGGGCTTCCCTGGTGGCGCAGTGGTTGAGAGTCCGCCTGCCGATGCAGGGGACACGGGTTCGTGCCCCGGTCCGGGAAGATCCCACATGCCGCGGAGCGGCTAGGCCCGAGAGCCATGGCCGCTGAGCCTGCACGTCCAGAGCCTGTGCTCCGCAACAGGAGAGGCCACAAAAGTGAGAGGCCCGCGTACCGAAAAAAAAAAAAAAAAAAAAGAGGACAGATAAATATTGTAAATGTCCAAAGCAATTTTTGAAATATTTTAAAGTCAGAAAGAAAGGAAAAAGGGGTGGAGGGAGGGAGGGAGAGAGAGAAAAGGAAGGCAAAGTAGTTTGCTAGTCCACAGGGCAAGGAGGTGGGGGAAGCTGAACCTGGCCATGAGCTTGCCCGTGGCCCCAGCTGCATCCTCCTCCTCTCCTCTGTCCCTCCCACGCTGACCAGGGCGGCCAGCTCTGGCTTGGCCCAAGAGAACAGGGCAATAGGTCTTAAGCCTGTCTCTTTGAGTTCTCTGATGCCTCACCTGTCTCCCTGAGGAAAGCAATCTGCCCCCTCCCCTATCCCTCACCCTCACCTCTTGCTTGCCAGATGCCCCTGGGAACTGGGATTTGCCAGGATGTAGGGACCCAGGGCTGTGGGGGACCCATGGACATGTGGAGCGAGGCCCTGGCCCCTGAACTTGCCCGAGAACAGGGCACCTGGACAACACCCTGCACTTTGCCCCACGGATAAGTGGCCCCTGGGTGGAGGCAGGTAAGGGTGGGGATGGGCGGGGACAGGGCCACCTGGTCCAGTTGTTTGGTGCCCTGCAGGCTTAGCTGGTGCAGGTTCTGTCTTGGCCGTCAGCGCGGGGAAAACGCTCCCCACGACACAACAGGACCTGTGAGGTGGAGCCACTGAGGTACCCGCGGGTGGCCCAGTGACAAGTCCCCCGAAACACAGCAGGTGCATTTGCTGAGACCCCCTGTTTGCTCATGGGCCTCTTGGGGGGAGCAGGGGTGTGGGGAGCCACGGGGCTGACTTGAGAGTGCCCAGGGCCTGGCTCTGAAACCACCAGGGCTGAGGCCTTTTCTTCTCCTCTCTCCCCACCTCCTCATTCCCCCACCTGTGAGGCAGCCACGTAAACAACAGCTGCTCCATGTGTGGGCTTGTAACCTGCGCCCCAGGGTGTGTGCGCGTTTCAGCCCATTTACTCATCAGCACAACCTAGGCGGCAGGTCCCCTTAATTACCCCCATTGCACCCCTGAGAACACCAAGGAAGAGTGTTAAAGTAACTTGCCCAAGGCGATCAGCCACGTAGGAGCAGTGCACACGGGATGCGTATCCATTGCCACATCATGTGAGATAGGCTCTTATTTGGAGCAGGGGTCTCACTATGAGTTGCCAAAGCAGGAAGCCTCTCTGCAGAGGCTCTGTTCCCTCCCAGAGACCTGCCGGGGGCGGTGCCCACCTGGGGTGGGGGGAGGGGGAGGGTGGAGAGGTGATGCAGACCTGTATGTTGTTTGCAGAAGTCTTTATTGGGGAGGGGTCAGAGTTCATGGATCACGGGGAGGTGCAAATAGAGAGTTCTAAGGACGCTGCTGGGACAGGGGCTTGTTGGGGAAACTGCATCCTGGCCAGGTTGCCCAGAAGCCTGGGAGCACTGGTGCCAGTCCCTCTGCAGTCTCAGCAGAGAGTGCCCTGGAGCCCTGACATCACTCAGCCTCCCTCTGGGGGCCCCCCGGGCCTTGCCACTGTCCGTCTGTCTGCATGAAGCCCAGGGGTCAGCAGAGGATCCAGTCCTCCTTGGCATGTCCCTCCCACTTGGCCGATTTTCCTGAGACTCCCCAAAGAGCCAGTCCAGAGGGTCCACAGTGCTGGCCCCGGGCAGTGTGGGCTGCTGGCCACTGAAGCGGGTGGTGATGTCCTGTAGGGACCCAGTGGTGCAGCTCTTCTCACGGGAACGGGCTGGCCGGTGGGGTCTACTGGGTCGGACCCTGGCTGCAGCCTCATCCGGCACTGAGGTGGGCTGCGCCAGCTGACAGATGGACTTCACGTAGTCATCCAGGCTAGGGGAGGCGGGGGGGTCCTCTCCAGGCCCACCGGGCAGCATCTCCTCCAGGGTCTCCCGAATTGTGGGCAGGTGGGCCACAGAAAGCAAAAGCCGGGACCTCATGGCTGCCGGCCACAAGGAAGCAGCAACCTGTTGGTTGACAGAGGACTGGGGTGAGGGACTAGTGTGCCATCCTGACACCCTTCCTGTGTCCCCTCCCCACCTGAGGCTGCCTTGGGTGAATCACATGTCTGAGAGCAGTTTAAAGTCTGCAGATCCAAGACCAGGCTCGAACTCCTGGGCTCTTCCTGCTAACATTACTTAAGATTCTGTCATTACTGTTGTTCAAGAACCTGTACAAATCAGAGGACTCAGACTCATGGACTGGAGTCAGAGGAAACCTGGGTTTAAAACCAAAGTTAGCAGTTCCCGACCCGGAGTCCTTTGGCAAAGTCACCTCTCCAAGCTTCCACTTACTCATCCAGAAAATGGGGTTAAAAATACACCTCTCAGGGGTGTTGGGAAAAGCTTATGGAATGACACCTCATGGGAAATTCCATTATGAATATAAAGCCCTCCGCAGCTGTTGTTACAGCAGTTAGCTGCATCCTGGCCTCTAACCCGCAGTGAGGCTGTGCACGTCCCAGGCTGAGAACTGCTTCAAAGATACCCAACGCCTTTTTGTTTTACCTCAAACCAGAGGGCAGTTGCTGTCTCTTACCTAAAGCTGAGGAGGCCTGGGGGTAGCAGGGGAGCTGGATGAGCAAGGAAGTCCACAGAAAACCCCCAGGAAGCTCAGGGCAGAGGGATCGGGGTCCAGCAGTTGGAGCCCTGTGTCCGGCGTCAGATTGCTGGGAGGGGGACGACGAGGAAGATGTGCTACGGCCTCTGTACGATGTGCCACTGTCCAGAGTGGAACCCTCCCTGAGCTGTCTGGCGAACCTCGGGGCCTGGCAGCTGCTTTTATACCTTTCCACCAGCAATCAGTTACTGTCACACGGGCCAAAAATAGCAATTCTCAGGAAGGCTCTCAGAGGAAAACAGCTTGGCGGGCGGGGCCTGGCCCAGCTGCCAGCTTGGAGCAAGGCTTTGTGCCTGTGGGACGTTCTGGGAATGTTTACTCTGCAGGGCAGGGGTGGGGTGGCCACTGGGAGAGGCAGGGGGCTCCACTGGGCTCCCACAAGCAACCCTAGGGTCTGCCACCTCTGCCTAGAAGTGTTCCCCACTACACCTTACACTAGTACCCTGCAACCCCAGGACACTCTGGCCCGGTGCTCGCTCTTGCAGAGCTTTGGGCCTGCACCTGTGAGGGACCCTGCCAGACACAGCGATGCAGGGCTCAGCCTGGAGGTGGCTAAGGCCAGGCTCCCTGGGCCTGCTGGGAGTTGGGATGTGCCCACCCTCTTCTAGAACCAGGGGCAGCCTGCAGGGTCCTGGTCTTGCTGCTTCCCAGATGTGGTGCTTTCAAATGATAGCTGGTTTGTTTCTTTGTTCCCCAGATATCTAATTAGTACGCCTGTGCACCAGTGGCCGTTCTAGGTACAGAGGACGTAAGCAGTGAATGAGTCATTGCGTCCTAGAGCTTAGCTGTTAGTGAGGGACAATTAAGCACTCAGTGGGTGGGTGCTGCGATGTTGGGTACTGATTACCGCTGCAAAGGAAAGGCCAGCTGCGCTGTGCTCAAGGTGTCAGCAGGGTCCTCTCTGAGAGGGGTCACTGAGCAGAGAGCTGAACAAACGAGCGTCGTGTGTTCCCAGGGGAGGGGCAGCATGTGCAAAGCCACTGTGGCAAGAGTCTGCTGGGCAGGGGACAGCCGGGGGCCCACATGACTGGCCCAGGTGGGGAGAAGTCAGTGGGTTTGGCATGGACACTGGGTTTCCCTCCTAAGGGGATAGACAGACACTGCAGGTTTTGAACAAGGGTGCAAGAGTCTGGCTTCTGCTTTGAAGGATTGACTTTGCCGCCCGCTGTGCGTGGGCTAAAGGGCAGCTAACAGGGAGACCGAGGAACACCTGGCCAGCGTTGGGAGGCCACTGCTAGTGTCCAGGGGTGAGTGTGTCAGCACAGGAGGCAGCTGAGGGAGAGGCAGGTGATCCTGGGAAAGCCCTTGTAGAGAGCCAGCACCATGCCCTTCTCAGACAGACCTCACGTCATCCACCTAGCCGTGGGCCCACCTGGAAGGTACCTGTCTTGTTCCCACAGGCAGGGGATGGAAAGCAAGTCACTGAGACAGAAGCTCAGGTCGGAAGTCTGATTGTTGGACAGACCCTAGGTGCCGAGGCAAGCGGGAGGAGCTGGCAGTCCCAAGTTCATGCATTCTGGCTAGAGTATTTCTCATGGGCCTAGGCATGCGGCCAACCCGTGATCAGGATTTCAGTTAAACATAGCAATTCCCACCTCGATGGCTCGTCCATCTGGATGCTTCTGTAGAGCCTTTGTCTGTTTCTCTGGCTCTCTTTGAATTCATTAGCAATTAGCAAATAAGCCAATAGGCTGAACGGAGGAGGAAAGTGTTGACTGCGATAGAATTAGGGGGCCCAGGTTGATTTCCCAACTTGTAGAAAGTCCAGGTCCCGGGACCTGTGTTCTCGGCCTGTTACTTCCCTACCTGCGTGGTGAGGGCTGCCCTGGAGGTCCCTCTTCTCTACTTTGGGCTTCTCTGATTTGATCAGAGAAAGCTGCAGGCTGACAGGGCCTCCGCTCCATTCTGATGGGGCCAGGCTGGGGGAGCAGTAGAGCAGTGGTAGGGGGCTCAGATTGGGCGCACCCATGCCGCTTGTGCAGGGACACCAGGCCTGAGTCACATCAGGCCAGCTGGTCCCCAGCATAGCTTAACCCTGACCTCAGAGGCAGCAGCTCTGCCTCAGCCCTTCGCTTCCCCAGAGCAAGTCCCCCTGCCTCTTTCTTCATGGCAAGGTCCCCAGAGCCTTCATACAGCAACTTTGGAGGTCTGGCCTCAGTATGTCCAGCCTTGCTGCCCCTGCCCCAGCAGTGCCCCCAGAGCATCAAAGGGCCTGGGGCTGTGTCTGCTTCATCTCCTCCACCCAGAGTCCATCATGGGGCTGGTGTCCATGAATGAACATGTCCATGAATGAACACACCGAGATGTGTTCCTGGTGGGGCAGAGGCTCTCTCCAGCGACCTGTCAACATCTGACGGAGGCATGTGAAGCTAAGTCTGAAAACAAAGACCTGAACCCCACTTTAGGTTTTCTTACTATCCTCACGAGACCTTTTTTTGTTTGTTTTTGCGGTACGCGGACCTCTCACTGCTGTGGCCTCTCCCGTTGTGGAGCACAGGCTCCAGACGCGCAGGCTCCAGACGCGCAGGCTCAGCGGCCGTGGCTCACGGGCCCAGCCGCTCCGCGGCATATATGGGATCTTCCCGGACCGGGGAACGAACCCGTGTCCCCTGCGTCCGCAGGCGGACTCTCAACCACTGCGCCCCCCAGGGAAGCCCTCCCGACGGGACCTTTAACTGCAGTGGATCAATCTAGTCTTTCCTTTACAGTTACATATCTGTTACATATTACATACATACAGTTCCATATCTTTAGTTACATATCTGTGCCTGTGTAGCATCAGTGGTTATCAAAAATAGGTCTGGGTTTTTTTGTTGTTGTTGTTGTTTGTTTTCTTTTTTAGCAAATAGTGCAAGGCCATTTCAGAAAGCTATGTGTATTTTTGATAAACTTGAACAGAGGAGAAATATTTTCTCCGTGTACGGCAGGGTGCTTTAAACTATTACTAACTAACCATGAAATCGACACTGCAGGACACCTCTGTAAGCACTGCCAGGGATATGACATTTTCCACAAGGTCCCTCTTCTCACAGGGCTTTTGATGTCAGCAAGGAGAAAGAAATGGCATTTGTGAATCTAAAATGGTGCTTGAGATGGCTTTGGGAGAATGACGATTTAAGTTCATTGCCAAAAGACCAGTATCAAAGCCAATTAGGAGCACATAGCTGGGAAGACCTAGACTCTGTGGAAGCGTGAAGCTGAGAAGGTTTCTGGCAGGTGCTCTGAGGGTGCAGACAAAGCAGCCTGGCCAGGCACACATGTGGGAGTGATGAGGCTGGATACAGGGAGCCTGGAGGTGGTAGCGCTTATACAGGAGCCGGAAATAGGTCAGAGGAACAGAATCAAGGACCTGAGGGGAGCAAGTGGGAGCTGGCTGAGGGTGCTTCCGGAGGACTCTGTCGATTAGGACCTCAGGGCTGGTGGTAGGGGAGTGGCCATGCCATCTGCAGACCTTGGGAAATGAAGGCTGGTCGGGGACGCGGGCTGGGAGCTGTTGTAGATATTCCGAGCATGTGTGCCAGTGGTGGGACGCGGGACTGTCCATATCCCAGGTGGTGAGGGAAGCAAGACTGGCCCTCGGGAAAGAAGGCAGCTCAGTAATCTGGGGGTGGGTTCAGGCCACTATGGGAACAGTGTGGGGACTGTCCTAGTCCACCTCTGCTCTCGTGGGCATGGGATCCAGTGCCCTCGGCACATGCCCAGTAGGGCCAGCTGACCGTGGGTCCCCTGCCCAGGTGCAGCAGTGGGTGGAGAGGTGCCCTGTGTTGCACTGGTGTCTGCACAGCCGTGCTTCCCTGGAACGTGTTTCCTTGCCGCTCTGTGGACGTGTCTGCCAGACAGCGGCCGCGTTCCTGTGGGACACCTGACTCAGCCGCCCTGTCCCAGACCCTGCGCCCGGGCGGTGGAAGGGCACGCCTCAGGCTTCCTCTTGGCCCCGGGCCGCGTGCCTTGGAGCACACAGAAGTTCGTGGGCCTTCCCCCAAAGGAGGACAGGACGCCAGGGAGGAGAGGGCGTGTCTGGGGAGGCCTGAGTGCACGGTGAGTCCCGTGGGCAGGGGCTGAGTCCTGAGGGCGGGTGGGGAGGGTAGGCAGTGACCCCTGAGCGCGGCTGCTCTGGGGGAAAAGGCTGACCCGTGTGGATCCCCACAGGAAGAAGGAGCTCTGATCATCGAGGGGCTCCTCAACATCTCCTGGGGACTGAGGCGGCCCATCCGGCTCCAGATACAGGATGACAGAGAGCGCGTGCACCTCTCCCCCGCCTCCTGGGCACCAGGACACCCGTGAGTGCCAGGCTGGGTGGGGCGGTGCCAGGTGGCCTCCGTGACACCTGTTCAACCCGAAAGTATCGTTTGGGGTGTCGGGGGCGGGGGAAGTTGCTCTCAGCCTAGCCCCATTCCCATTTGGGGCAGGAGCATGGCAGGATAACCCAACCTCATCCCTGTCACCCCGTGACGTCCTCAGCCCATGACCTCACCTGCCAACCTGCAGCCTCACCCCCAGGTGGTCCTTCTCCATGACAACCAAATCACTCCCTCTTGGAGAACGTTCCAGGCTCCCCTCACCTCTGGCTGTGCTTCTCAAACTTTCCTTGTCCGTAAGAGAGAGAGGGCTCTAGGTGGGGGGCTTCCAACACCCTCTGCGAGTTAAGCATCTCAGCATCTGGTGTTCTATATTTAAAACGCGCACAGTTTTAGCCGCCTCCTGCTCTGCTTTATTCCAACATCAGAATTCGCACAGTTTTAGCCGCCTCCTGCTCTGCTTTATTCCAACATCAGAATGTGCACAGTTTTAGCCGCCTCCTGCTCTGCTTTATTCCAACATCAGAATTCGCACAGTTTTAGCCGCCTCCTGCTCTGCTTTTATTCCAATATCAGAATTTATTTTTATCAATTTATCAGAATTTAATATCAGATTTATTTAACGATCAGAAGAATGTTTCGATCAGGATGAAATGGCTTTCTACCTGCCTTATCGTTTTAGTGGACGTTTGCCTCTTCCCACCCCACCCCATAGACGGGCAGTTTGCTGCTGCATTTTGCTTGCTTCTGCATGTAATAAATCCTTCTAAGAGTCAGAAATTCAAAACATTTTCCCCTTCAGAAATTGAAGTAAAGT